CAAACCACGTGTTCATCCATTAGCTGATGCTTTAGTGGTGTTCAGAGTGTGTAGTAAAGCACAGTTAGTTTTGCAGATCTACTTTGTTTCCTAGTTTTACAGATTTTGTACCCAATTCCAGACTTTTTCCTCCTTAAGGAAAGCTTAGATACAAGTACATTCCTGCATGTATTTACACAGTACCTCTCTGATCCTTGTTTTCCGTAACAGTCATCCTTAATAAACAGTCATTTAATGATGTGATGGAAACATCAGCTGCATGTTGTAACTCCTCAGGATCTGGTGCCTGTACTTGGTGACACAAAGCCAAGTCCACACGAAGTCCTTAACCTTTTCCTCTCTTCCATTGGCATTTTAGGTTTCCTATTGCTTGCAGAGCCTCAGTGTCTGTGCAGAACCTGCACCCTCAGTGCAGTGATGACTGTACCACAGTAACTGCATGAAACTTCCTGAGATTGGGCAATAACATAGTTGTTCAGTGAGTAAAACCAACCACTGCAAAGAAACTCATGCTGTAAATTAGGTACTTTAGCATGTGCGACAACCAGCACGTGTTTGAACAAAAGGTATTCACACATACAGTTGTGAATGCAAAAGGAACTTCAGGTTTAGAAAAGAAGGAAAACCACAGTTGCATCCTTCAAGTTTCCCCACTGTAAACGAAGCTGGTTTGTTCCCCCAGCTCGAGATGAGTTATCAGCACTCTGCACAGGCAAGGCCCAGCACCATGGCAGCAGGATGGACAAACCACTCATTTTTCCAGTTGCTTTGAAAAACAAATCTGGCTCAACATCAGCACGAAGCAAGAGGATGGATGTGAGACAATTCACTGCTGAGCCAGAGGCAAATCGTTACACGCATCAATTATACAGCAAATTCACACCATGCCTTGTCACCTCCCCAGCTCTGCCTCAATCCCTTGCAGCACACACAAACTCTCTCTAAAACCACCAGAGGTGCTCCTTGCCCACCCCACAGCTCTGTGATAACCACACACTGTCCTGAAGCTTCTTCAGTAGCTTAACATGACTTTATCCCACAGCACATCTGTGTGTAAATCCGACATGGTGAACATGCACCAAGTCCTTGTGCTAAAAAGCCACAAGTAAACAAAAAAAGAAAACCATCATAAGGTTCTGGTTAGAGGGAAGTTTTGCACATGACTTTAATTGTGAACAGAGCTCGTTGCAGTCTGCTAGCTGTTAGGGAAAGGTTGGTAGCAGCTAAAATGCATTTTTCTCAAGCAGTAGAATACACAGTAGAAT